GGGGGGGGGGGGGGGGGATTGTGGGTTTCAGAAGCTGTTGTGTTACGATTGCGGGCAGGAGGGGCACACGACACAGAACTGCCCCAACACAAAGACGTGCCGCATATGCCGGGATCCCACACACACGGCAAGACACTGCCCAATGAGGACCGCACGCGGCTCTGCGAGCGGCAGCGGCGGTGGCGCCAATGCCAATGCCATGTGACCGACCGATTAGTGAAGATTTTCGTAGTGGTGTGAGGGTGAGGGTGAGATTGGTGTCGGTGTGTTTGTGGTCTGACTCATCGGTCGGCTGGATGGCTCTATGGTGCTATTTGTGCCTGTGGATGGATGGATGAAAGAGACAAGAGCGATTGCAACACGTCACCGTTCGTCAGTCACATTGGGTGTCATGTGGTGCGGCTGTCCATTGGTCGCGCCCCGTATTGTCCACCAGCTGCGCTCTTCCTAGTCGCGGAAGAGAGCAGCGCGTGAACGAGACGCCGTGCGACCAATACAGCTCACCATGGATGCACTCTGGTCAGCCGAGCAGAGGGAGAGAGAGAGAGAAAGGGAGGTCGTGCCAATGTTGTCGTATTGCTGAGGCGTGATGGTTGGTTGGGGATGGTTGCAAGTTTCGTGCCGTGTGTTGAGTGCCAGATGAACGATGCCCATTTTCTGGCAGCGGACAATATACAAAGGATTCCATCCATTGAGACGATCAGCAGTCCAATATATATTCAGGAATGACGAATGAAGTGTATTTGTCACTCACTGACGGTGGCTGACCACCAACACAGACAGTATCATTATAACATGGCGTGAGGGAGCGGAGAGAAGCTGACTGAAGTCACCAACACACACATACAAACACAACCACGGCTTATTCACAGCCTTTCCCTCCTCAACCGAATCCCCCCTCAAGAACAGCAAAAGCCTCACTCACCCTAGGAAGTGAACCAACATACACGCACCCACACACAGCAGCTACACATGGCGGCTGCCCCTCTCCCTCTCCCTCTCCCCCATTGCCACAGGCACCCCCAGCAGAGGCGCCCTCTCACTCACACCCACACCCACACCCGCTGCCCTCTCCTGCTGCTGCCGTGCGCGCGACGGCATCCTGACAGCAGCAGGTGCTGCAGTGGGAGTGGGGAGGAACCTCTGGCGGCCCAGACACTCCTCTATGATGCTCCAGTAGCCTGACACACTCACGTCCACCTGATAATGCGACCAACAAGGAGTATATCATTGTGTCTCGGCAGCGTGTTGATGGCGCACGTGGAATTCTGCGGTGGCTCTGATTGTTTTGCCGCGGACGAGAGTGTAGAGGAGGTAGAGGATGAGGCCGACGCCGGAAAGGGCGCAGAGGGTCTGTGTGGTGCGATTGTGGATGAAGTTGGACCACTGCTGGTTCTGCAGGATGGTCAGGTCTTCACTCCCCACCAAATGCACCTGCACAGCCACCCCAACTGCCCTCTCTCTCTCTCTCTCTGTGTGTGTGTGTGTGTGTGAGTGCTCACCTCCACCTCGCCATCGAATCCTTCACATTTGATCTTGTTCTTGATGCTCGTGGCCAGCTCTTCCCACCCCTCCCAGCAAACCTGCTTCGACAACACGACTGTCTCCAGCGAATTGGTCGTCACCAGAAAGCGCCGCAGCTGCAAGACACCAACAAGGAGAATAATGCCGCCAGTCGATCAGCGTATGGCAGGCGTCTCTCATACACAGGCTGACCGGCCTACCTTACCTGCTCGAGGTGCGGCTCGCTGATGAGGCCCATGTCGCCTATCCATGGGTCCAAATCCAAGCAGAAGGAGAAGGCTAAGACACGCTCCTGAACGAGAAGACGGCATAGCAGGAGAGAGCGAGACAGTGAGGTTCATGGCAGAGCAATGAGCTCGCTCGCCAGGTGACCTGCAGTAGTGGATGGAAGTAGGTGACGGCCCCCTCCTCCTCGTCCGAGTAGAACGAGTAGCTGGACCGCCCCCCGGGGGTCAGCGGCTCCTCCCCTTCCGCTTCGAGGTACCCCCTCCTCCCAACAGCCACCACAGGCCCCGGTAACCTCTCGATCCGGCCCTCCTCAGCCACATCCTCATATCCCTCACCCCCACCGCCCCCAGCAGCATGCGATGGCGCGGCTGCTGCTGCTGCCGCAAGTACTGGTGCTGCTGATGGGGGTTCAGATGGTGGTGGCTACGACGACTCGGCGGTTGGTCTTGCTGGCTCAGGTTGTTGTGTCCCGTAGTACCGCCTTCTCGCAGCAGGTGCCGGGGCAGACTGGCGGAGGGCCAGCCGATGGGACGGACTAGGCGCTCGAGGTAGCCAGCCATCGATCTGCAAGCACACACAGACATGAACACATAATGATGATATCCATGTGGGCAAGGGCAGGTGTGTCTCACTTGCAAGTTGGGGCCGGGGTGTGTGGGCTTTCTGTTGAAGGTCATGAGGAAGCCGTCGAGCGTCGGGTCGTCGCACGCCAGCAGCGGCCCCCGCGTCCTTCTGTCTGTGTAGTAACGAATTGTCGACCGATTGGCGTTTCCCGCCAGCCGATAGACCGGCGAGCAGCCGAAGGCCAGCGTGACGACATAGATGACAAGCATCAGCAGGAGCACCATGCTGTCCTGCGCCCGCAGTCGCTCGGCGATCTCTGCCTGGGTTAGGGGCGCCACGTCCTCGGGAAAGAGCAGTGGCTGGCCATAGGGAAGGAAATGCCGCTTCTGCAGGTCCCACTCCTCGTTGTCGAATTTTGTCTTTCCTCCCCCTGTAAGCGAGAAGCGCCGCTTCGCCTTGTCCAGGACGTATACCATGTCGGCGGCGTTCGTGAGGGGGCTGTTGGCCAGCTGCTCCGACTCTTCTTCCAGCAGCATCTCGTCGATCGGGGCGTCCTGGTAGTTCTCCAGGCTCGTAAGAGAGGTGGGTGGGAGGGGATGCAGGGGGTGGAGGGGGTGCTGCGGCATGCGATGTCTCTTGACACGAGCATAGCGGGGCTTGACAGCGTTCTTCTCCCGCCGCTTCTCTTTCTGCCAGGCCTGCTGCTCGTTTGCGATGGCTCTCGTGAGCGCGGTAGAGGCGCCGGCAATCAGAGCTTCGATGTTTGATTCGATGCTGCTGGCTGTCTGGTCCAGGGCTGACAGCACCGAGCCACGTTCGCCTGCGGTAGCATTCATCTGAGAGTCAGACTGAGACTCCGGGTGCTCGTCTCTCTTTGCAAATGCCGTCGTATTGGCAGGGATGGGCTCACGATGATGGCTGCTCATCGGATTGACGCGAAAGAACACTTCCAACAGTGACAGCTCGGGTGACCCAAAGTCAAGAGGCCCGCCCAGGTGGGGCCGAACAAGCCCATCAGGTGCCATCCTTTGCTGCGCCAGGGACTGCAGGGAGCCCGACGAAGTGCATGGGGGCGGCGGAGCGCTGAGGGCCATCGACACGCTCTTCAGGGCCGACGAAACGTTGCTGGACGGCCTTGGCTGCGGCGGGTCGGTATGCTTCCCTGCGGGTGGGCGAAGGCTTCTGCTGCATCCCATGAGGTAGGGAAGTAGGAAAGCAAGAAGGGTGGATCAGGAGCAACATCACATTGAGCCTTCACGCCGTCGAGGGGGGAAGGGAAGGGAAGCCCCCAATGCAAGCTTGCATCCCGTCTCTCGCCATGAGTCTCCTTTTTTTTCGCAGTTGACTTCCCGGCTCTCTGCAAAAGCTACGTAGCCGGAGTGGTCATTCAGGCTGTGAAGCATCAACACTTGAGCTTGCAGTGTTTGGTGTTTGGTATCGAAGGAATTGCCGCTAGTCAAGATCAAACAGCACGGGACAGAGAGCTCTTCACTCAAAGTGACAGTATCTCTACACACAAACAGAAACACACAGGTACGGAGAAAACGAGTTTAGGCTTCACGGGTTACCCCCTTGGTTAGAGTCCAGCCGTAGCACCAGCATCCCCAGCCCGACCATGTCTCCATCATTTCTGTGCCGGTGTGTGTCTGCAGGTCTCTTCTATCCCTGTCTACATTTTATATCTTGGCGTCCTCTCTCCCCTTTTGCCGCACGACAACGAGGCGGACATCAAGGATCCGACAGCATTGAGCCCTTGGATCTCTCCTTTTGGTGGTGAGGAAGGGCGGATGGGGCACAAAGGCAGGCTGCCTTTTGAGAATGTGTGTCCGTCGTTTTGAATTGAAGGCTCATCCACTCGATACGTGCTGCGTCTCTACTTTCCCCGCAGATGAAGCAGCGGAGGCGGGCCTGCGGGAGACACAAACGCAGAGAGAGAAGGGAGGAGACGTGCTAATCACACGGGGGATGGCGTGCATAGGATTTCAGAGGACCGACTGACTGAGTCAGACTGACACTGGCCACGTCATACGTTGCTGTCTCCATGCAAAAGACCGACACGCATGTTTGGAAATCATCTCCATGAGCACGAACCAATCCGGCAAGCACATCGCATGCTCCGAATGTCCGGAAAGTATGTGTGCACCGAGAGCACAACGCTACCCTCCCCTCCCCTCCTCTCTCAGCGTCTTCTCTTGTTCATCGGCGGTGTCGTTGGAATCAGCACATATCCGGGTGTAGGTGGCAGACTCGACGCCACATACGTGCCGACACCGACACTTGCACTGGCGTCCCGCCTCCAGTCGACCTTTCTTGCGTCCATCTGCTGCTGTTCGTCAGCAAAAGGCCAGGAGGGGCCGGAGCCTCCGATCTGCCGCTTCGTCAGGGGCCGAGCGCGAGGAGGGGTGCGAGGGGGTGTGGCGTATGGGACACCGCGGACCGGCCGATGTCTGCTGCAACACGCCACGCACCTCAGCGCCCGCCGAGACTCAGACAGCTTATTGCTGCGTGCTCCGGGCGACACTTCTGGTCGTCTGCTGTGGCTTGTCGTGCGGGGCGATAGCCGCAGGAGGCTGGCGTAGTCTGCAGGCGGCATGACATTGTATGCATAGGGGGCAGGAGGGAGCAATGCCGTGGCGTGGGGAAGCAGGGGATGGCCGATGACGGGCTCAGGCTGGAGAGCCGGCAGTTGGCGGTCGAAAGCGGCCGTGGCTGAAGACGACGACGGTTCCTGGCTGGACATCTTCACCAGGTTGCCGGCCCGCTTCCTCAATGTCGACACAGACGGGACGGTCGGCGGCATCACATGATGATGCAGCTCATAGCCGTCCTGCCGCTTGGCGAACGCCGACAGCCGGCTGAATGTGAGAAACGGTGGAGTGCTCGGCCTCCTCTTGTCCTCAGCGGTCTTTGCTGACTCCGGTTGGCTGATGATCCCATGCAGACTGTGGGGCAGGGGGGTAGCTGCGGACGAGTCGATGCGTGGGTCCTCTTCAGATCTGTCTGACCAAAGGCAGTGGGAGGCAGCGCTCGCATGCAGCGTTGGTTGCTGGTCGGTCTGTGTGGCTCTCGAGACAGGTGGCGTGTCGTTGGCCGGGTGTCTCTCGTGAAAGTCCCGAACCTCATGCAAACGCCGCAGCACCGGTTGGAACCTGCGGCAGCACGATGACATCAGAGCGATGGTGTGTCGGTGTGCCATGCTGATCATCCGCTTATTCATTACCCGTCCTCGGTCTCTGCCACTGGCGCGACAAGCGCTTCAAGCGCTCGCAGAGCCGCTCGGATCTTGTCTCCCTCCTTCCCTGTGACCACAGCAGCCCGAATGACAGCCAATAAAGGGCCGAAGGCATCCAACAAGCCATCCAGTAACTGTCGGCGGCCCCCCTCCAGCTTTCTAGTCTGCTCTTTTTCCGAAGCAAGCAGAGACTCCTGTCGACGCAACTGCTCTTCCGTCTGTCTCTGTGCATCCTGGAGGCGGCAGAGTTCCTCATCCTGTTTTGCCGCAAGGCCCGCACCCATTCGCTTGAAATCATCCTGATGTTATTCATCGCGGGAGAAGAGAAAGAACAAAGAGAGAGGCGCATACCATCCAATGGCATGAATGAAAATAGCGCTTTCGTACCTCCCTGTCCCGCAGTTTGCGTGTGAGGTTCCTGTTCTGTTCCTCCAAATGTCTGCAGTAGACGAACAGCCGGGGAAAAGACGGCCGCCTCTGGTCAAGATTGTCCGACTCTGCCGTCACCGACAAGGGGCCTCTCCGCTCTCCCAATCCGACATAGCGCGGGCGTGGCGCCTCGTCGTGTGACGACTCTGCGAAGGGATCTTCCTGCGAGAAGAAGGGGTCGGCAAACCAGTCTTCATGGTTCGCTGTTGCTTGGCCCTGGAAGCCAGCAGCTCCGCCGTCAGGCAACCCTCCTTGCTGCTCGGCAAAGGTGCCTTGGAAGCGGACCGGCCGGTTGTTGTCAGCCGCTGATGCATCGAATGGGAGGTCTGTGGATGAGGTGGAGGTCCTGCTTCTGAAGGCAGCCGTGTTTGTGAGTGGGCGAATGCGGTCCACTTTCCACGAGTGGTTTGGGAAGCCGGAGGGCTGCCAGTGCTGCTCGTTGAAGGTGCTGGACATTCTCCCGCGAGATGACTGAGACTGCGGGCGGCCCCCAACCTGAGGGTGTCGGCCCGGCCCGCTCCTCGCGGCCAGTATACGCACCCCGATCCAGAGCATTATCGTATATATGTCGGTCTCTTCTCATCCGTCCCCTTATGCACTCGACTGACGTCACTGGTACCCATCCACGCACACGAAGCATCCAACGCACTACCACTACTGCGTGTCAGGACTCTTCCTTCCGACAGCGAAACTTGTTCCGCCACACACTCTCGCCGGTGCAATGAGTGCCTCGAATGCGCCAGTGTCACAGATGAAGGTGACCCTGATGCGTTCGACCACGTCCATGGCACCGACGAAAGGAGGGCGGCAACGAACCAACACATCCATAATAGAAAAGCTGCGGTTCCTTCCATAATGATACGCGCGTCGTCTGCCCGGCATTCTCCGCCCCTTCCGTCCGCAGCCCCTGCTGTACTCAACCGTCAAGCTCGTACGCTGACAGTCTAGTCCAGCTCTGACTCTTGACGCAGGGAGATGAGAACGCTGCAGGCTGACAGACCAAGGCGTCAGGAACACCCATCCATCCGCCCACCCATACAAAAGCCAAGACGTACTGACCGGCGTAATCGACACCCGGCTCGCCTTACGAGAAAGACGCACGCCACCCACCCCCAAAATAAAAGCGTTAGCATCGATACCTACAAGTCCACGTACACAGCCGTCCATGCAAGCATCGATCGTGGCTGTCGCCAACAACTCACACACACACTGCTCGGTGCGCCGGCCGCGCACCTCCCCTGCCCTCCTCTCTCCTTCGCTCAGTCGTCACATGCAACATCTCAAGTCATGCATCCGATCAACACATCCACAATCGACCAGGCAGGCAAGGCAAGTTGAGCCGTGACGTATCAACAGCATTACCAGACAGGCAGACGGACACATACACAGGCATGCAGATGTGACAAATTAGCGCATCCCGGTCGGTGCAATGGGAACTAAACCCGATGTAATGTAATGATGACGTAGTGCACTGAGAAGAGCCGTAGGCTGCAGGCAAGTCAGAGTGAGTGAGATGGCTGAACGATTACGATTGCCCACAACCCATCACCCCTCCCGGCGTCCCATAAATTACAGTAGTAAGTCGTCGTCGCCGGTCGCTCATGCACCCCAACCGGCCATGGTGTGTGTGCGGAATGGATAGACTGGATAGATAAAGGAACAGTAGAACACGCAATCGACACGAATGTAAAACCACACACAGGCAGACAGACAGACGAGACAGATGGTGAGCGATCATACCATGAGAGCCGCATCTGCACTCCATCCCCATCCTTCGTTTCTCCCTCCCCCCCTCCCTCCCCCCTCCCTCCCTCGCGTCGGAGTCGCATCCACAGAGAGAGAGAGGAGAGAGAGAGGGGAGGAGGAAAGATCAGAAGAGCGACAGGCAACCGATAGATACACAGGCAGGCAGGCAGTAAGGCAGATGCACTCAGTCATCGTATGTATGTGTCTTATGAGCACATCACATCAGTCGAGTCGGTCGGGTCGGTCTGTGGATGGCATGCCGCGCGTGCTGGTTGCAGTGCAACGAACATGAGCCATCCATGAGATCGATCAAGACAATTGCCACGCCCTCTTCCCTCCCTCCCTCCCTCCCAGCCAGCCGGGGGCGAGAGGGCAATAAAAATACCCTTATGAAGTCGGTGGGGGTGGGGAGGGGCACACTGCCGGCGTGTCATGAGCTGACTGGTGAGGGCACACCTCCTCACCTCCTCACCTCACCCACACGCATGAGCATGACGGCACAACGAGCACACAACACGATTCATGTGACTGTCGGCTGCCTCAAAGGTGGGCCAGCCAAAAAAGGGCAATCGATGGGTGTCGCAGGCAAAAGGATAGGCGATACAGAAAGCAACAAAGACACAGGGCGAGCCATCCATCCATCCATCCATGCATCCATTGAGGTGTCATGGTGTGTCAACGCTTGTACGCGACTACGCGGCTGGTGTGCCCCCCGCCCGCCCCCTCACACACACATGCAGTGGAATGTTATGGAGTGCAATGGAGTGTAATGGCTGGAGTACACACACGTCAACGAATCGGTCAGCAGGACCGAAAAATAGACTTATAAAGAAGCGCTCAAAGCGATGTCATTCTACCCTGCTGTGTATGCTATCGGCCCCGTGAGAGATGCTGGCTCAGAATGAGCACGAAGGGCCGATGCAAGATCTGCAGGAAGGAGACAGGCAAGACACCGCAACAGAGAGAGGTGAGCTGTCTGTCGCTCAAGTGTGTGTCTTCGTTCCTCACCTGAACTGCCCGTGCGAGAAGAACCGCGCGCGGCCGAGGTCCACAATGCCATCTGAACAGACACATCCACACACACACACGGAGGGATTGATCGATGCCGATGTGTGTGTGCGGCTCTCTGCTAACCGTTTTGGTAGAGTTGGCCAGAGTTGAAGTTGATATTGCGCCCGATGCCGCGCGGCCCAGTGTTGTAGGCCGGCCCGACGATGGCCGACCGGGGCTGCAGGCGTCGGTCGTCGCTGTCGGCCTTGTCCTCAGCGTCGACCTGCTCAAAGGCATCCACCACCTCCATCTCACTCTCCTCCTTGTTTTGGATGACGGCCGAGGGGCAGTTGCCGTTGACCTCGGGAATGCCCTCACCGCAGCCGCCCTCTGGCTTGGGGCGCCAGAGAATGGCCTGTTCCTTGGACACCTCCAGCCAGTGGCCGCCCAGGAAGTCGATGCGGTAGGTGTTGTGCTTCTTGTTGCGCGTGATCTGACAGAGACAGACAGACAGACAGACAGGTAGACACGTGAGTGTCTGGTGTGCATGGTGGCTTGGGGGGTCACTCACCATCTGGACTTTGTAGAGTCTCTCGAGGAACTCTGGCACGCCGTCGGAAGATTCGGTGGCGGCGACACCCAGCTCGTCGATGTACAGGTTGTCGACCTGCACACAACACACACACAGCACAGGCAGCACAGGGTGCAGGTGCAGTGGAGTGGGTGCCCTGCCGTCCAAGTTGTGTGTGTGGGGGGGGATGGTGTACTGACTGTACATTTTCGAAGTCGGTGAGGTCCTTGTCGTCGCCAATAAAGTCAAACGGGTTCACAGTGTCAACCTTGCTCTTCGTGTCTAATGAGACGACAGACACACAACACCACATCACACCAGTCAGGCAGCGCACAACCCCCATCCCCCCGCAGGGCAGGTTTGTGTGTCGGCTTACGAACGACGTCCTTTGTGTGTCTGCTGATCAGGTTGCTGTTTCCGTCAGGTCGCTGGTCCTTGGAGATCTCGACGGCCAATACTGTAACCCCCAGCAGCACGAGGAGGGTCGCGATGTACACGATGGCGATGCCGATTATGACCCATCGGAGGCGGTGGCTCGTCTTCTTCTCCTGGGCCATCTGGCGGGCGGCCGACAACACCTCCTGGACGCTGCAGGCACCCACAGACAACAGGCACACACACGAGACACGTGACAGATGTCACTCGGCCCGTCTCCCCTCCCCCTCTCTCACCTGAACATGCCATCGCCGTCAGTGTCCCAGGAGCGGAGGATGTCCACCATCCGCTCCGCCTCATCCTTGTTCCCTTCCGTCTTGAGAGCGGACGCCCTGAACTTCTCAGTACGGGATCCTGGCACGCCGGGCTTCATGGTGCAGCAGCGAAATGCTATGGATCAGGGTGGGTGAGTGGGGCAGGAGTAACGACGAAGGAAGAAGTGAATGACAGCTTTTGCTGTAGAAGTTTTACACGGGGTTACAGGGTTAGGGTAGGGTTGCGAAGGATTGGGAAAGGAGGGAAGACTGAGGGGGCGGAGGTTTGGACAACACTCGACAACACTCTTCCCATCGCACATCTCTCATTGCATTCACGACAGATCTATCATCGCCACATCGCATCTCAGCTTCCCCGAGACCTCTCAAGTGACTTCGCATCTGATCAACACTCCCTCAGCAATCGCAACCGAGATGGCCACTGCCCCGCCCAACAGCAGAACTGAGAAGTTCCGGTATGCACACAGATCCAGATCCAGCGCGTGCGCACACCCGCACACGCACACGCGGCGGGGGGTCTTGTCTCTCTGTCTGTTCAGGGCCTCCGCTCTCAAGACGGAAGGCAGCAAGGATGAGGCGGAGCGCATGGTGGACATCCTCCGCTCCTGGGACACTGACGGCGATGGCATGTTCAGGTGAGAGAGGGGGAGGGGAGACGGGCCGAGTGACATCTGTCACGTGTCTCGTGTGTGTGCCTGTTGTCTGTGGGTGCCTGCAGCGTCCAGGAGGTGTTGTCGGCCGCCCGCCAGATGAACATGGAGAAGAAGAAGACCCGCAGCCTCAAGTGGGTTGTGGCGGGCTTGGCGATTTTGTATGTGGCGACCATCTTGGTGCTGCTCGGCGTCACCGTTGCTGCCGTCGAGGTCACCAAGGACCAGCGACCTGACGCGGATGGCAACCTGATCAGCGTATCCGGCAACAAGGACGTCGTTCGTAAGTCAATGCATCCACATGCATAGAGGGGGGGGAGATGGGCCTGTGCATCATCTGTCTGTGTGTATGTGGGCGTATGTGATGTGTGCAGACACCAAGAGCAAGATCGATGCGGTCAATCCCTTCGATTTCGTCGGACAGGACCTGTCCAATTTTGAGAATGTACGCACACACACACGGACACACACACACATCCGGGATGCGCCTCTACACCCAAAGCACACCTTTGCTGGTGTGGTCGCGTGTGCGCAGATTGACAGTCTCTATCTGGACGACCTGGGTGTCGGCTCCTCGGAGGGCGTCAAGGAGTTCCTCCAGAGGGTCTACAAAGTCCGAATGGTAAAGCATCTGATGACACACAAGCCCCGAATACGCACCCCTACCTCATTTCTCGCTGTCTGCCTGCCTGTGACTCACAGGTGACCCGCAACAAGAAGCACGATTCCATCAAGATCGACTTCTTCGGCGGCGACTACCTGGAAGTGTCCAAGGACGAGGCGCTCCTCTTCCGCCCCAAGCCAGAGGGCGGCTGTGGCGACGGCATCCCCGAGGTCAACGGCTACTGCGCCGTCGCCCAGATCGTCAATGAGGAGGAGCCGACCAAGGAGGAGTCCGACGAGCGACGCCTGCAGGCGAGAAGCTCAATCGTCGGGCCGGCCTACAACACTGGGCCACGCGGCATCGGCAGCAATGTCAACTTCAACACGGGCAGAATCTACGGCAGCGGTATGCACCCAGTGTGATGTGATGCATCACACCAGACACGGTCATTATATGGCCTCTGGCATGTGTGTGTCTGTGTTGTGTTGCAGAGGGCATCGTGTCCTTGGGTCGCTCTCGCTTCTTCGGGCAGGGCCAGTTCCGCAGCTGTGATGGGCCTTCGTGCTCGTTCTGAGTCTGAGGGGAGACTCCTGACTGACTGACGTGCTGTGTGCTGATGGGATGCATAAGTGCGTGCAGAGTGGATGAATGTGGGTTAGGTAGGTTCGTCTAGTCTGTGGGTGTGTGCGGTGTGTCATGTAGTGAGTGCGTTCGTTCATGCGGCCCTCTCTCCCTCTCCAGCATCGCAGCATCGCATCACATGTTTTGCGTTTTTGCCCGGCAGCTCCCTGTCTATGGGGAGGTGTTTGAGCCGGGTGGGGGTGTCCGTCCTAATGCTCTCTGCCCTCCCTCCCTCTACCTGCCTGCCTGCCTCTCAGTCTCTCTCTTTCTGTCTGTCTGGCCACATCATTTGTGGCAGTGCTCTCGCATTCTCTGTCTCGTTTTGGTTCCTTTCGTCTTTATCTCTCTCGTGTGGTCTCTCTGTGCGGCGGTTTTTTCGACGGCCCCGGGATGCGCACGTCACTTATCTCATACCTCTCATCAAGGGGTAGTGAGGGGCAAGGATGGGCAGTGGGGTAGGGGGCAGGCAGACAACGTTTTTTCGTTGAGAGGTGTCTGTCTTTTGAGGCCTCTTGTAAGCAACAACGGTACAACTTTATTCGCAACCCCCGCGGGCCGGGGGCTTCATGCGACCTTGCCGGTCGGTGTGGTCGATGCGTGTTCATCTGCCCGTGTGCATGTCATGTCCATGTGTGCGTGCGTGTGAGACGACGAGTTTATGTATGGTGACTCTTCCTTCCTTCTTTCCTCCTTCCTGCCTTCTTGATTGTGCAGTGTCTCGCTACTCGACATAAGGAAAGCCGCCTTGATTGACGCTGGTATGAATGTCACTGCAGCGATTCGATCAGTCGGCTAACGATTCCTTGCGAACTTGCACCTGACGTCCCGGGTGTTAGGTCGTGAGATCCGGACGCCCGTGTCGTGAGGTGATGACCTCGTGGTGTCGTGGCTGGCTGTCGGATCAGGTGTACGTGGCGGCTGTGGAGTGAGTGCATGAGTGACGTCTTGATGCTTGATTTGAACTGCGGGACACAGTGCGCTTCATTCATGTCAGCTAACACTCTGCACGGACATCAGTCGCGACACAGTGAAACCATTGCTCACTTGCACACACTTGCACAACGCTGCTAACACTCAGCGCACATGACATCATCTCCCTTTGCGCTCCCTGCCCCTTCCCAGCCCAAGTCCGAGTGCCTTGGCCACATTTCCCGTCCATGCCAAATGCCTCGCCGTCACACTGCGAGGCCGGTTGGTCCCACACACAACCACACCTGGCCGCCCGTCGCTCGTCGTGAAGGGCTGCATCACGACGCTTGGCACGTTTGATGGCAGGTAGGTCAGCTCAACTCGGCCAGGGAGGAACTTGAGGTCTTGCAGACACACGGCATCAGAAATGCCCGCCTTGGCACTGCTGAAGGCGCTTCGCAGAATTGGTGAGCTGGTCAGGTCGACGGACGACAAGTCCTGCCCCATGTAGCCGTGCCGCAGGACAATTGACGCTCTGCTGAGGTCGCTGTCGTCGGCAATGAAGACGACCACCGACCGATAGGGCGTTCCACGCAAGAGGCTCTCAGATGCCCACCGTAGCAGACCCTCCTGTTGTTCATCGGCAGCCGTCGCCTCTGCTTGACGGATGAGATTAGCCGCATCCAACTCCACCCTGTCGGCCTCCTTTGCAGTGATGTCCTCGAGAGCCACGCCGATCAGCACCAACCCAGCTGAGGCGAGAGTCGCCAGCAGATCCGCACGCCCCTGCGAGGCGTAAGCAGTGATGTCAATGAGGCGGTTGATGAGGATGGCCAGCAGACAGAAGGAGCCGATGGCGATGGACACCTTGGGCTGCACAAAGAACGACTGCAGAGGGTAGGATGGGGAGGGAGCCTCGCTTTGCTGCGACATCGACAGTGATGCTGGGGTCATCAGACTGCCGTCGATGGACCGGGAGGGAGGAGATCTTCGCCTTCTCGGCCTTGCTGAGGGCGCGGGAAGAAATGCCGAGGTGCTGTGTGCTGGAGTGAGAACACCGAGGACATGGGATGACTGCAAAGCTGAAGCCAGCATCGGCACTTGATGCAGCATCAGAACACAGAGGGAGAGCATCGCCGCGCCTTCGCGAGGAGTCGATCGTAGATGACTGCCGACTCGCCTGCTTTTCGGATAGCTGATGTTTACCCACCTCTCAAGGCGAGACGTGGATGAGTCATTTCCCTGTTGCATGCATCAGTCTTGACCCCCACTATCCCCCAAGCCCGCAGTCTTTTTCCTTCAAGTCCTTTCCCCTCGAAGACCATAGCAAAGGGCGTCTGTTGTCAGTCAGTGTGTCGCTCAAGACTCAGAGGCAAAGGTAAGTGCGTCGCACTAGACGGATGGATGCGTGTGACAATGTGGCATGTGCAATGCCATGCGCTGTCCTTCAGGTTCAGGTCGAAACTCTGTTGACTGATGGCGTCTGGTCAAAGCAGCGTGTCTGTGAGCTCGATGGAGCTTCCCATTGAGGTATACAAGTTCATCCATAGTTTCGGCGTTGTCAAAGAGCCGCCAATCGCCGCGTCGTCCCGCAGCCCCATGCCAGAGAATGGAAAGGTGCCCCTCCCGCCTCTCGTGGTGCAAACATTCGAGAACGGTCATCGGGTGGCAGAGTTGCTCAAGGCCATCTTTCGGAAGCACGGCATATCCAGAACGGTGCCTGAGGTCAACGCCCACCTCCACTCACCCTCGGCGAAGCTCCTGCACTGGGAGCAGCTGTCTGCATCGCTTGAGGAGTTCGACGTCGAGTTGGACGCTGATACGAGAGGCCTCATAGCCCAGGGCGACACGGAGATGCTGACCGAGCTGCTGACCGAGCTGCATGGCGTCTACAAAGATTGGTTGCACGAGCGGCAACAGCAGGAGAGGGCGGCGAAGGACAGCAAGGGGGGTCAGGGGAAACAGGGCTACTCGAGAATGGCCTCCTCCGTCAGCCCAAAGGCACAGCAGCGGGAAGCAACCAAGGCCAACGCGTCGACTTCGGCAGCGACAGATGGCCCTTCGGCAGCGACAGATGGCCCAAGGGCGTCATCGCAGTCCCCCAAAGCAGCTCGAAACAAGTCCGGCTATGCAGCCAAGCACAAAGGAGGCTACGCACAACGCCCACCGCAGGCGAGCAGTAGCGCTGCTTCCCCACCCCTTCCCCCACCGCAAAAAGAACCAAGGGCGCCGATGCAGTTCTCCAGTCCGCCGTCTGCTGGCAAGAGGAAGAAGAGCGCCCAACGGCCTGCGCAGCCGCACCCCACCCTCCCTGTTGACGAGACACCAGCCCCGAGGGCGCCTTCCCTTCCCCCACCGATCCACGAACGGGCAAGCGAGCCGCTGCCGAACTTCCCTCCCCTCCCACCCCCCGTCGCCCTCAACAATCACGTCAACCACGAGAGATCTACGCCGAGGAGAACGGAGGAGACACCAAGCAGTCCGGACGATTCCAATCGGCATCGAGTGGCGCTGTTGGACATGGAGGCCCTGAGCACGCCCTCGCGCATGCCGGAGCACGCCACTTCTGCCCTGGAACTGCTAGCTTTATCGCTCGTACGTGACCTGGAACTGTCGCCGGCACAGACGATGGCGCTGCTGGCTGAGAGCGGGAAGCTGTTGGGGAGGCTGATGCACACGGGGCTGCATGGGGACTATGGGGCGCTGGCGGGCTGGCTGGAGAGGCTGCAGATGTACCAGGCAAACTTCCTGTGTGAGTTGCTGGTGGAAGATCCCGCGCCACTCCCACTCATCATGTCTCTGCTCGCCAAAGGTCAGAAGGAGCAACAAAAGAATACGCGGCGGCTGAACGAACTTCTGTTTGGTGTTGTGTGCAGGGTTTCACTCTCCGAGTGCTGAGGTGATTGAGTGGTCGTGCCGGCTGGTGAGCACATGCGCCACGCAGCTCGGCCAGGCCCACCTGTCAGAGGACCTCTACAGCTGGTTCGTGCAGTCCGGCTGCCTCCGACACACACTCACCCTGCTGGACACGCACCCCGCCATCCGCACGTCCACTCTGTCCGTCATCCAGCACTGCTCCGAACACGCCTTCCTGCCCCTTGTGGCTGCACATCTCAAGCAGCTCGCCACAGATGCGTCGAGATATCTGGAGAGCGTGCACGAGCTGATCATGCCGCTGCTGAGGAACCGCACGGCCATGGAGCTGTTTCTGCGGCAGGGGGCGGCGGAGTATGTCATGGAGTTCTCGGCTCTACAGGCGGCCACAGGGCGCGACAGCTCCACACGGGAGAAGGCGCTCATGCTTCTCACGGACGTCTGGCTCATCTATGCCGTCCAGATGGCCCGCAAGGAGGACTTGGCGGCCAGGCTCCTCGGCACGCTCAAGGCCTCTGCCCTCAACCGCAGCAAAACCATTCAGCTGACGGCCCTGACATGCTTCTTCTCCCTCCTGGACGAGCTGTGCGCTCGGCGATCGACACTGACGCCCCTCGTGTACCGGACGGTTGTGTTTACGCTGATCGAGCTGGGGGCGATGGGGCAGCCGCGTGGGAGTGCGGCAGAAGGAGAAGGTGGCGGTGTGGAGGTGGCCGATAGATGCTGCATGATGCGGTCGTCGCAGAATCCAATAAGGGACTTCATGGTGGCGAGGCTGGCGCAGTTTCTCAAGACGACGCATGGCGTCCCTGTAGGTGTGTTGATCGAGCCTTACGTGAAGCAGCTGAAGCTGCAGGGGGTGGAGGGCAGCATGAGGGACTTGGAGCTCTTCATCGTCATGGCCAAACATAGAAGGTCACGCAGGCCGATGAGGCGCCCGTGAACCTGACTTTTTAGTGCTCTCTTCATGTCTCTGTCTGCAGGCTTGGTCCCCGCCACGCACTGCTTCTGGCCGACCTCTCTGGGCAGTATGTGTTGAATGACGTCATCTTCAGCCGTGCGGCCACCATCCCCCTCTTGATCATCTGTGCACGCTTCGCCGCAGACACGGCGCTGCAGCAGTGGCTGTCGCGCTTCACCAAGAACGCTCTCACCAGCATCGTCCGCAATCAGCCAGTGCCCAGCCCTGAGGGCTCCTCGAGGGACGGTGTGCTGCTGGATGAAGATGAGAGGGCCAAGACGCATCAACGGACTGTGGCAGTGGAGGTGCTGGCCAAGCTCATCCAGATGCAGCTCCCGGCCGTGTCAACCATCATGCAGAGGGACATCTTTGACCTGTGTCGGTACGCAAAGAAAGGCGACACGATCGATGTCCATGCACACAGACGCACCCCTCTTGACCTCCCCCAGGGCTTACTTCCGCACCTTCGGCGCCTTCCAAGAGGAGCTGCGCGTCCTGGCGGCCTACTGGAAAGAAGACCTCGCCTCGCTAGAAGTGTCTCTGCTGAAGGAGCTGCAGTCGGTCGAGGCCGAGGAGGAGGCCATGACGATGCGGCGGCTGTCGAAGGAGGAGTTCCTGGCCCAGCTGAAGCGGGAGGACGATGAGCGTCGGCGGCGGGACATGGACGTCATGATGGGTGTTGAGGGTGAGGACTTCATGGCGGATGACGAACAGACAGAGGAGGAGGGAGAGGCAGACAGGACCACACCTACAACCGTATCGCAGGTGGGCCCATCAACGCAGACACAGAAGGCAATGGCGACGTTTGCTTGCTCGCCTGCTCATTTGCTTGTCTGTGGTGGTCGATTGATCAGCCTATCGAGCCGCCTCAAGCAAAGCAAGCACCTCGCAAGCCCCACCGCGAGCCGTACAAGAAGGAGGAGAAGGATGAGAAGAGGAAGCCTCGCGCCCCTCCGCCAGCAGCCGCCTCATCCGTCCCTTCGGCGTCGATGAATGAGGCTGAGGCCCCACCGCCACCTGCACAAGCTGCGGAAGAGAAGCCTGTGGGCCAAGTGGCTAGGTCTCCCAGCAAAAGGGCCAGAGCAAGGCCTCAACGACCAATTGAGGCAGAGAAGCCGGCAGAGGTGGTGCGGTGGGTGGACCTGACTCGGCAGGAGGAGACGGAGGTGAATCAGGTGTTCAAGGCCTATCAGACGCCCCTTGACCGCCTGTTTGGGTCCTATCACACAGTCAGTAAGAGACGCAAGCCAAACGGACAAAGACACACTTCACGTAACACGCCCTGCAGCAATGCGGCCATGTCTGTGTTGTGAATGTGTAGGTTCCGAGGGGACGCGACCAGCAAGCACAGGTGAGGTGAGCACACACAACACGCCCGGCGAGCGAACCAGCCCGCTCAAACAGCTGCCTGCGTCTTCAGGGGTCTAAGGTGATCCGCATGGCCGACTTGTTGACGATGCTCAAAGACCTGGACATTGTCCCAAACACATCGCGAGAGCTGAGGAAGGAGACCGTGAGTGAGCTTGGCAGGATGGCCGTCAAGCAGCAGCATGCACAGGGAGCGTTTGAGAGGGGCGCGAGGGGCGACAGGGCCACGTTGACTCAGGAGCAGTGGAAGAACATTATGGCACAGCTCGCCTTCACTGGTAACCGAAACGACTCAGTCACAACATCATGTGGGTGTGGGTGTGTGTTGGCTGGCTGCCAGGGTATGATGCGGAAGAGTGTGTGTCTCTTGAGCTGTATGGTGTGCCCGTTCCGCGGCCATCGACAGGCCGCGCCAGGCAGCTCATGGCACTCATTCAACACATCGCAGCCAGCGCGGGTAAGCATTGGAAGGAGACCCGCCAGCCAAAATGAGTCGTTGCTCTTCTTGTCTACAGGCAAGTCGGGCCACTCTCAGTTGAAGTCGCTGTCTCAGCCGTTTGCGGCCAGTGAGAAGCAGCAGTGTCGGCGCTACATCAACCGCACCATCCACTCACTCAGCGCCAAAATTGACGAGGGAAACGAACCACAACCTCATGAAATCCCGCCAGGTCAATAAACGCGATCGATGCGTCAGCATGTTGTTTCTGTCATACAGGTTTTGAGATCAAGGATGTGTCGATGGATGTGCGGCACCACACGCTGCCGCCCTCACTGCCCCTGCGACAGTCGGAGCTGCATTGTGCGGAGATACTCGACGACCTTGTCGCACGCGCGTTCGGCGTGCACTTCCTGGAGGTCTTCAACAAACAAAGTAACACATGACAGCACATTGTCATCCCAAAACCGATCAATTGCCCATTGTCTGTCTCCACCTGCAGTCTCGTCTCGCCGTGCTGTGGTCATCGGTCACGAGCACATCGGCCATCCCACCCCATCGCAGCCCTCGCCAGAGGAACCACCGGCCCCTCCACCATCCGCACCCAAGCAATCCCGCGCACGAGCACCGGCAGCAGCATCGAGGCGTGAGGTGTCTCCTCCCTCTGCCAAGAGCAGGAGCAAGTCAGCAGCCAGGGAGCGGTCCCGGTCGAGCGGGAGGAGAGCTGAGATAGAGGCTCGGGCCAAGAGCGCCATGCCGGCCATCGTGAGGGAGGACGGGACGCTCGTCAACCGAGCCATGATGGACAAGGAGAGGAAGGCCGAGGTAACTGAGAACTACGTTGAGAGGCAGACGTGAGAGGGCATCGCCTGTACTCTACCTACCATCAGGAGGACAGGGCAGCCGCGGCCGAGGCCGATAAGCGTCGCCGAGAAAGAGCGGCCTTCATCCAGAAGCGGCTGATCAGAATGCAGGAGGAGCGGGCCGCGAGGGAGAAGGAGAAGGAGCAAAAGGCCGAGGCCGATCGACAGCAGCAGGAGAAACATGCAGCCGTTGAGGCAGCGAGGCGGCGTGCACAGCTGGAGCCCAAGAGGAGAAAGCTGGCAGAGTTTGAGCGGGTGCGCCCTTACACATGCATCAGCCTCCGTGACAAACAACAGACATCCCCTTCTCTGACTCTCAGGACCGCGAGGTCCGTCGTCGTGGGCGCGATAAGGAGGCCAAGTCGCCCGAGAGCAGGAGGAGACAGCGGCGCACTCAGTCCGACGAGGCGGCCAGGACCAATCCGCCCGTCGCTCGGGAACCCTCTCGCGTGCTGCTCAAGATGCGTGGACACAGGGAGACAGAGCGGAAGCTGAAAGAGAGGATAAACAGCGCTTTCAAATCAGATCAGGTGAGTGACATTGACGGGCATGTGGGTGGTCTGTGGATGTTGTGTCTGCATCCTTTCATCAGATTACGGCAATTCTCAAAAAGCACGACAAGGGACTGCGGAAGGTCCGTTAAGTTAAATCCCCACCTGTCTGCACGCTTCTGTGTCGGTCATCGCTTTCCTGCTCATGTGCATGCGTCAGGTTTATGACGTGTTGGGGATTCGCAAGTCGCCGATAGATGTCTCGGATTTCGCCAAGATTGTCCAGTGCTTCGGCCTGCAGCCGCTGTCGGAGATGAAAGTCGTGTACCGGCACGTTGCCGGCCAGTCCATGTCGTTCGACAAATTCACAGAAGCATTGTTCCACATCGCTATCCTCAAGGCAGGACTCAACTCAGAGGTCTGTCTACGAGCAGCAGCGACCAATCGTCTGCTCCGGATCTGCTGCCGTGTTGTGCATGTCAGGCTTCAAGCGATGCTGTCTTGGCGGCGGCTCTGCAGCTCCTCTTCGACCACATGAACCTCCCCACACCACAGTTCCCAACACTCAGGAGACGGTAGCCACACACCAGACCCAGAGTCTGCAGAGGCGAGAACTCTGCATTTGTGTGTCTTGTCAGCTTGGCCGATTATCAGAGGTACGGTGAGGTGGTGGCTGTCTTTGAGCCGTCCGGCAAGCCGCTCGCAGATCGTGTGCGGGCCCTGGCCAGAGTCATGGACACCGTCTCTCCACAGGCAAGCCAGCGTCCACCGTTCCTCATTTCCTCTCTCCCTCCGCATTTGTGCAGGCAGCGATGAAGGAAGTGGCTGAGGGGTTGGGTGCGCTGGAAGAGATAGCGGCCAAGACCAACCAGCAGCGGCTCAGCAAGTCACTCAGCCAACTCAGAGTCGACATCGCAGGAGGTGACTGGACGAGGGACGGACCTCAGCCACTGATCTATTGTTGGTTGCATCTCTTTTGTGATGCAGGCGCAGGCAAGTCTGAGGCGTTGCCGAGGCTCCACGCCCTCGCAGAAGAGGTCGAGACATCATTTGAGCACACGGCCAGACCGCACGAGGCCCCACCGCCACCTATCATGATCCACAGCCCCAAAAAGACCGAAAAGAAACGCCCTGATGAAACCAAAAAGCCAAAGCCGCCCAAACCACAACCTGCCCAGCCCGAGGCGGGCGATAAGCCTGCTGATGATGCCCCGCATGACCTGGAGAGGCCAGAGGGGAAAGAGAGGCAGCAGGTAGAGCCACCTCAAGCCGCTGAGCAGGCAAAGCAGCAGGAAGAGCAGGAGGACGCTCAGCCCAGTCGAGACACGGACGCAGAACCGGAAAGTGGTGGCAAACAAGGGGCCGCGGCCGAGGAGGAAGCAGGTGGGCAGGGAGGGGAGGGAGCCCGCCAAGGGACGGACGAAGAGGCAGCCGATCAGGGCAATACAGGTATGACAAGTGCACGCACAAAGCAGGACCGTGTTAGTGCTAGGCTAGCTGTATTGTGTTTCTCTGCATCGATGCAGAAGGAGAGGCATCAGATGAGAAGGCCGAGCCCCCAGCTGATGACGGGCAGGAGTGATGCCCTGTGTGCGTGAGCTCTCTTGCGTCTGTCTGTGCCTCTGCTCTGCTTGTGTGTTTTGCTGTTCTCATAGCATTCGTGGCCCAACTGGACTTCAATCAGTTGCTGCTGTACTAACGGATTTTCATGGCGTTTTCCTGCCACAAAACCAATCCGTTCATGCAGCGTCGGTCTGCAGTACACCAAACCAGGATTTGGCGGCTGCGGAGCAGTTCATGAATATGCATACGTCACGCAAGAAGCACTCGTGCCTCGTGGTAAAATGGTGAAAAACAGCTTCGCCCTGTCGAGCTCCCTGGGTAGCGATTGGTAGCACTTGCTGCAGCAATGGCCTGTGTGGGCTGTGCGTGCACAGGCCACACAGCACATGGCTGCAGCAGGGGGTACCTACCGATCGTGACACCAGGCAAAGCCAACACACGGACTGCACCAAACTGTACAGAACGGGGAAAAACGTCTCACGTGAGCAAGGCCAGACAGACTCAGCCACCCACCCCCTCTGAGATACGCAGAAAAGACATCTATCAGACAACACTAGAGAAGAGGCAGGCCTCACCAGTCAGTCATTTATTCTTAGCGCAACGGCAGGCAGAGTCTGTCGGTCTCTCGTTACATATGCTCTCCAGCTGCTGCCGCGCCTGCATCCTCACGCTCTCGAATGCATCGCCCAGATACTCCTTGCACGTCTGATAACGAGTCGACTCAGGCCGTGCAAAAGTGATGACCAGCATCATCTCCAGCGCTGAGGGCTCCTTGAGGCCCTCCTGCTCGTCAGTGGTGGCGCTTGTCTGCTGCTCCTCACACGCTGCTGAGGCGCTCTCTAGCAGCCGGTCAAGCAGGCTCCTGCTCATGAGCACACAGACAAAAATTGGTGAATGGGGATGTTGTGTGGCCAGGAGCTCCTTGCTTTGTCGCACCTGAGATCTTCCGTGAGGTGCTGGTACACCTCGCAGTCCAGCTGGAGCTTCCTGATGAGGGCCACGATGGTGCGCATCCCGTTCGATTCGGATGTGTTGCTCATCGGCGATGGAGACCTCTCGAAGGTGTGAGTGTCCTCAGTCTACGCGCAAAGCTTTCTCTCCGGGGATGCAGATCTGTTCGCCTTTCTCGCGCGTGCTAGCTGGCTTCGGATCAGTCGCACGAACCGTGGCGTTTTTCCAGCCGTCCGTTTTTCCCAGGCATCATGTCGCATCAGGTGCCCCTGGATCTGTGGCGTAGCAGCCGCTTCGGTACTATCCGTGATCTGCTCAGCGTCAGATGCATCTCCGGCACTGAGGGCTCTCTCATCGACAACACGGTGATGCTCCGCCGCATCGAGGGCTCCCTGACCCGCCACGGCCTCGACGGACTCTTCGACGTCCACCGGCAGCACCAAGATGAGGACAGCAACCAAGATGAGGAGGGAGATGGCGCCGCCCCGACGAGCGCCCCAACGACGGATGCGCATGCTGAGGTGGTGATGCCCGATGGGCTCACCTACTTCGGCTACCTCTCCCGGTGCGCATGGCTCTTTGAGGAGGGGGCGGCGCTGTGGCCGTCGATGGCGCCATTCGCACGCGTGGCCAAGAACTGTGAGGTGGTGGAGCAGCTGCCGATCGTGCTGCCGCCTCTGGGCATCATGGACACCATCCCCACCACGACGGCCTTCCGCAAGCTGCCGCTGGTGATGGGCGTCTACAAGACATTCCGGCAGCTGCTGAGCAATGAGGGCCGGGAGCAGACCCTGGTGGTGATGGACAAGGCGGCGTGCGAGCGGCTCAAGGAGGCGGGGAACGTGCACTATCGGGAGGGGCGCTACGACGATGCCATCAAACCCTACTCAGGTGAGAGAGTGGGTGCGTGAGGGGGGTGGGAGCCATGACATGCGTATGGTGTGGGTGTGGGTGTGGGTGTGCGCGCGTTGAGCAGATGCGGTGGATGTGTGCCCCCGGGATCAGCCAGGCCTCAAGGCTATCGTACTCGCCAACCTGTACAGAGAGAGAGCAACGGGGGATGAAGAGAACAATAGGGCTCACTGTGTGTGCTGTGCTGCGTCGTGTCGTGTTGTGTGTTGGTCAGGGGTGCGTGTCACATTCAGCAGGGCAACTATGATGCTGCGATTGTCGACTGCAGCAAGAGCATCAAACATGACGAGCAATACGTCAAGGTCGCCAGAGATATCACACCATCATGTGCAGCAACACGTCAGGCCCTTCATGTCCGTGTGCTGTGTGTAGGCCTACTACCGTCGCTGCTGTGCTTACGAGGCGCAGGGCAAGTGGGACCATGCACTCTGGGACATGAACGACGTCATCGAGCTCGACCCGTCGCAGCGGTACGTACCTTACACAGGCAAGACTGTACGCGCAACTCACAACACGGCACACTGGGAGTATGTGTGTTTGGTCATCAGGGCGAGGCTGAGGGACCGCCACGCGATGCTCGAGACACGAGGTAGGTACACGCGTGCGTCGACACACCACGCAACGAGGACAGTCTTCCTGATTCTGTCTGTCTGTCTGTCTGTGTCGTGTCAGCTCAAGAGGCTTGGAACCGTCGATTTCAGGATGAGGAGGATATGGAGTCGCACGCCGGGTCGGTCCACAGCATCGAGAGCCAGCCCGGCGGCTCGGACATCAGCGCTCTCGACTACAACACGGCTGACCGGTACAGGTTGGGAGATACGGCATTCCACATCATTCCCTACGGCCATCTGCCTGACGACCATCCCTACAAGGTGAATCTGTTATGCGCTCTTCCTTCTGTCTGTATCCGTCCTGACGTTCACCTCGTTGCAGGCCTCGTACTCGACGAGCGACCCCGTCATTCGGCATACCACGATGCTTTATCCCTCGTTCACCATCTTCGCCATGATTAGCACCCTGCCATTGTTTGACTCGCCCCAACACAAGGAGGTCACCGGCTACGACGGCGCTCTCAACGACAAGTTTGTCGCCCTTGCCACACAGCCGATCGGCATCGGCGATTACCTCACCATGGAGCACATGATGGATTGGGGGGACCTGGACAACTTCCGGCCGGCAGGACGTAGCTTCAGCCTCTACCGCTACGTCATCGTGCATGGCCATCGGCATGGCGACACGATCGTCGCCTTCGGGAACGTGTGGACCATGCACAGTGGACTTGGCCCAGACGCACACTTTGTCAGGGCCGCTTTGTATCACAAGGAGGACACCCCTGAGAACGGCGCCAGGATCCCATCCGAGGTGCGGAAAAGCTGCCTCGACCACTGGGGCGCCGTGCTGCACCACTTTGGCATCAAGTGATGACACGGCCGGTGTTTTGCTGTCGACATGTGCACATAAGTGGAGGGCTGCGTCGTCTGGGTGGCCATGGGTGCGTTTCGAAAGCGTTTTTGCGGTTTCATGAAGAGGACATGCAGGTTTCATGCCTGCTTGGGATGATATCATATCGCCAAGTTCATATTTGAGTGTGTGGGTGGGTGTGCTTGACAGACTCACGGATCCTGTCACGTGCACATGCACATGCACTCACACATGGATACGTACAGGTCATATCGACTTATTTGTAGCACAGGCCACTTTATTTATGCTTTGATGCCGGCTGCAGACTATGTGTATGGGTGGACGTCGTTGATGTGTACATCTACACATGTTTGTACGTATATACACACGTCCGCTGTTCTCTTCCTCGTTGCCGGGGTGGCCAGCCGTGTGCTCAGCACAGAGAGAGAGAGAGAGAGAGCTCGTGGGTGTCATGCGGGTGATGTGACTCCATGCAGCCCTTCTCTTTGCGGTGCTGACGATTTTCATACGCACTGCAGATCGACGGTGCTGGCCCTGTGGGTCCTGCCTTTTGCGCCTGGTGTGCTTCTTTGCCGTCTGTGTGTGTGTTGCGACTCTGTGTGTTGACACCAATAAGCGTGTCGGTGGATTGAACTATTCTGTGTGGGCGATCTTTCCGTGAGTGACCCCCTGTGCAGCATTCAGCCACAGACGTATGCATTCAGTCCCTTCTGAGGAAGCGAGCTAAGCGGCGAGATGCGGATCTTCCCCCTTTCGCTTCCCTTGCAGCCATGGAGCCTGAGCGTCCTCAACAGCAGCGCCAGCCGTCGAAGAATGGCATGATGGCCTTCACACCCGACACCTACTACCTCCTGGTGCACATCGACACAGCGGACGCCATCCCAGACTCATCCGCATCAGCAGCGGCAGCGGCAGCAGCCTCCACATCATCGCCGTGGACCGCATGGGATTTCGAATGTGCAATCCGGGCAGGCATCAGGCGGCTGCTGGGTGCGGTTGGCGGTCCTGCAGCCATCGGCGCGTTCGACATCGTCAAATATGACGAGGGCAGACAGGAGGCCATCGTGGCTTTGGAGCACCACCGCGGAGCGGGCATGCTGAGAGCGGCTCTGATGTTCATGGGCAACGACGGCCAGGGCGGCGAGGCGAGGTACCGCATCCGCGTGGTCAAGGCGTCGTCGTGCTTGAGTGCTCTTGCTGTGCCGAGGTGTATCGGGTGTTAAGAGGCGACACGGGTGGGTGGAGTCATGTGAGCGCCTTGTACATAGGTAGGGCTGTGTCTGTCTCTACCTGAGCCTTTGTGTTGTCACGGCGGCAGGCCGTGTGCGTGGCAGGGGCTGGTCACAACAGCTCGTCAAGTGTGCTTCTCACGCAGCGAGTTGTTATGATCTGCAACTCCCGCGGACACGAGCTGCGACGCCTTTGTTTCTTTCTTCCTTTGTTCTGTGGCGGCATGGTTCCTTCGCGTGTACCATGGCTGAATTGGCCATTGACAATTGACAGTACAGAGGCAAAATCGTTGAATGAATCGTCCACTCAGTCGACGAAGAAAACTGTCAGCCAGCGAACTAAACGTTCTCGAGCACATCTCGCAACACACCCACAAAAAGCGTCATCTCCTCCTCTGTGTTGTAGTAGTGCACCGACGCACGTACCACAGCATCGATCCCCCGCTCCCTCATGTCGATCAGCGTGGAAGCCGCACTACTCACCGACACGTCGACGCCCCTCTCGCTCAGCATGCTCTTGACCCTGTCTGCTGGGATGGCCTTGCCCGCTGCTGACTGGCACGTGAAGGACACAATGCCGCCCTGTCGTGCGCCGCCCTTGTCGCGCACTGTGACGGTGGGCAGCTCACGTAGCTGCCCTCGGAGGAGGCTGGCGAGTGCCTGGATGCGCTTCTCTGCGTTGGGCAGACCTGCACGCAGGAATGAGAATGTAAAGGTCAGCGAGCGTAGCGTGACGGAAAGGTGTGTACCGATCTGCAGTGCGTATCTGACGGCGGCCCCCAGTCCCAGCCGGCAGGCGATGCTGCTCTCCCACAGCTCGAAGCACTTGGCGGTGCTGGCCAGCTCAAACTGGTCCTTGCCCAACCAACTGCAAAGAATGGAAACCAGCCCGGCGATCGATGCACACTCAGCTCCCCCCCTGTGTGCCTCTGAGCGCGTGCCGTACCTGGCTGAGCGCAGGTCGGCGTACATGGGGTTGAGGAAACCCCTGTTGAGCAGCCGCTTGGTCACATACAGGAACCCGGTGCCTCTGAAGTGGTCGACCAAAGCCAGCAAAGACACAACTCGACTCGTGGAGATGTGTCGTGTCCGTCGTGTGCATGTCCTGTCCTGAGCGGGTCGGGTGCGTACCGCACCGGGGCGCCCTGAGGTATTTCCGTCCCGTCACCGAGAGGAAGTGGCACTTGAGGCGCCGGACGTCCAGATCAATCTGTCATACACACAACGCACGTGAAAACACATACGCACCCCACGGTCAAGAATGGAAGTGGCCTGTCCCGTGCAGTGCAGTGCAGTGCATCCCTCCCTCCCTCCCTCCCATCCCACCTGCCCGCACGATTGACATGCGTCCAGGAGGAAGATGGTCGAGTCGATGCCATCCACTCTGCACAGGCCTGCGGCGGCCACCCTGGCGTTGTGCTCCTCAATGATCCGACCGCACCACTCCGCATCATTGATGAGTCCCCCATTTGTCGGCACGTGTGTCATGGACACGACCGTCATGCGCCGCCTCTTGGCTGTGAGGTCGTCCTGAAGAGCTGCACTGAGGGCGGAGAGATCGAACTGTCCCGACGAGTCGTCGGCGATCTCCACAACCTGACAACACCCGATGGGAAGACACGTGTGTGTGCCCTCAACTCACCTCTCGCTCACACACAAGCGTACCTCTATGTTTTTCCTCTGCTTAAGGTTGAGGATGGCAATGGCGTTGGACGCGTACTCAGCCTTCCCGATGCACACCCGGTCCCCATCCGCCCACGGCAGAGAGAAGAACGCCGAGTCCCAAGAAACCGTCGCCGACTCAGACAACGCCACCTCGCTTGACTCACAGTGCAGCATCTCGCCAATCGCCTCATACACGTCAGAGATCTCTGCCTCGTGTGCATCCGCCGTTTCATAGCCGCCTCTTAGAGCCTCTTCCCTCAGGTAAGAGACAACAGTATCGGTGACAGTGCTGGGCAGCAGGGATGAGCCTGCGGCGTTGAGATGGATGCCGGCGCCCCTGCGGTGGGATGAATGCAGGCCTGGCGTGTCGCTGCGGGCTCGTGCGATGTCCTCGGCTGACCAGCACATGGTTGCCATAGATCTTCGCAGCAGCAGGGCTGCTAAGCGGGGTGCAGGGCAATGGATGAGCCGCAGTGGTCCGCTAAGAGCCATCCATAGAGACTTTTGGTGTTAGGGTTAGAGTTTAGATCTAAACCCTGGTTAGGGTTTAGGTCTAAACCCTAAACCCTGACAGCATTGCAAACTTCTCAACTGTTGGAACCACACGAATAAACACTTAAACAATGATGCCAGGATGCATTGCATTGTTTGTCCACACGTAGACACACACCGGCATACACTGATCAAACCGATGGATTCACTCACCACTGTCCAACCACAGACAGACACACAGACAGGAATACCCACACACACACACACAGGCAGGCAGAGATGGGCTCTCAATGAGATGAATTCAAAGCATGCAGGCCTCCGACAGATAAGCAGCGAGAAAACCTGACACAGACAGACAGACAGACAGACAGGAAGCCACGGAAGGATAGGCAGCCGGTCAGACACACACACTCACAAATAAGGTGTGCATTCATTCACTCGTGCGTACGCCCGTGGGCGCGCACACGCATAGAGAAATGTATGTAAAGCCGGCCGGCCAGCCGGCGACCAATAAAGAGGAGAGTGAGTGGACAAATTGCTGACAGATCGGCAGGCAGAAAGGTTAAGGTGGGGACCCACGATGCATTGCATACCATACATAGGTGGATGCATCTCTCTCTCTCTCTCTGTGTGTGTGTAATCCTATGTGTAATCACTCATTCAAAACGCCACGCACCACCGCACCGCACCGCACCGACCCACTGGCTGACGCGTTCAGACGCAGAAAAAGGTTGAACAGGCAGGTGGATAGGAAGTGGATGAACCGATCCGATTCCCCCCCAGCCAGCCAGTCAGTCAGCCCTACAAATCTCTCCCCCTCCCTCCCT